ATGTCGTCACCCCAAGCAAATAACCTACAGCTCTCAGGGGTGCTACCCCTTGTTCACGCCTCTACTTTTTGTTTTCATGCGTACGATTCTGGCGTTATGGTTTGACAGTCCTCTTTTCTGGTCATCACGACATTGGTCACTATCCTGTTTGCTGCTCTCGGTGACTATCAATCTGTCCGCAAGGAAAGAGGTTAGATCATCTCTTTTAGTATTTGTCTAAGTTGTTATTACAAGCGCGTTTTTGAAGTAGAACGTAGGACTTGAGACCCATCTTCTAGATTTAAATGCTTATTTGGTCCAACGTTGGCGTACTGACGCTCCTTAGTCCGATTTCCCATCCCATTAACATCACCTGATGGTTGAGCAATGAGGAAGCGGCATTATCTAGACTGAATGTTGAGGTTTACTTTATGGTTTTGGGAAGGAGGTGACGTCCCTTACAAAGAACTCAAGGGTGCACTTATAATGGGTTCTGCTGATATTTTATTCGGTTAAACGATGATATTCTGCTCTGATCAGCGTTCGTTTAGATGCCACTGGCTTGGTAGAAGATGCTTTCACCATAAAAAGTCTGGGTCGTAGTCAGTATGATTAAGAATTTGGTGCGGAGAAAAAACTGCATTGTGGTTCCAATTTTTAAAACTGATATCACCGTCTTATTTTGAAACCTTCGGATCTCATGATAACTTTGGAGAACTTAGCTTGTCTAATTGTGCAGGTCAGCGGTGTTATTATTTTTTAAATTACGAATGGTCCTTCCTGTGGACGTAATTCCTGGCTACGTTCCAATTTTCTCCGTACTTGAATCATACAAATTATTTCCAAACCTTACGTCATGGATTTTATGCATTTCGTGTATTTCGAAAAGAGCGATTATTCTGTTTGACTGTGCTCAAGACAGCATTCCTAGCATAGACGGCAGTTTTGTGATTTCTGAAAGCTATTATTAGGTTAATGCAATTCGAATGATGCTTTTGAAAGGACTTGTCATGGTCGCGTTGCTAACGAGCTGAGGTTCGTGCAATTGGTAGCACGACTACACGAGGTGTGTCACTGGTCACGCTCTGGCTTTTCTCTCATCCCTTGCCCTCCCTTTCCGCTTTTTAAGGAACCAACTATAGCCTAGCAGGCGTCAGCATTGCCATCACCGGGCGAGTGCTGTTTCTTTTTCCGGGTTGTTGCAAACAATGCGTCTGATAGTGAATAGAAGTTTACTAATCAGTCGATCTTTAGTAACGATGTATGTATTGCTGGTGTCCAACTTCGTGATTCCTTTCGGCTAAGCTGGCGATATCGTAAGGTCTGTGAGTTATCTCTAATCCCGATTAAGTGCCAAATTCAGGGGTTGTAAATTGTAATTGATTCTCTCTGTGCGTTTTCAATCATTTGAAGCCGAAAATCAAGTAACTTCGTTGCTTTCTTAGCCCTTTTATTTTTCACTGCTAACGAACTCTTCAAAACAACTGGTTTATCAACGTGCACTATTTGCAAACATTTGATGTTCGATCACTATTTTTGCTAAGCAGATTCCTGCAATTTCCAGACTCGTTTTTCTCATCGCCTTGGTTAGGCTTCCAACTTTTTACTTATAATTGTGAGTCCTTTGGTACCATAAAAGCGGCAAGCTAACTCTTAGTTCATCTCTGTATTCTCTTGGTGGATTTGTTCGGAAGCATTTGCAACAATTTTGTCATAAACCCATTGTCTTCGTGCATACCGATTCGACTTTTACCTTTTTGTACTCTGCTTTGACAGTATTGAGCGGTTGGGTCTCGAGTTTTCCGATGTCATATTTATCAAATGCATTTCGCTATAGTTTACTTTGACACAAACGGTCACCAAATGGCTATCTAGGAAGGTGGGATATAAGTAGCCCACTTGCTCGACTATGCACGTTAGCATTTACATGCTGGTGTATTTACTTTAATGGCACAACCTCACCCGAATAAAGTAGACACGTTTCAACCAACTAACATCAGCCTTTATTGCTCCGTTTTGGCAGTGAAATATAGAAACCCTTTGCGCCCTCTCGTAGAGCAAACAAGTTGAAAAATGCGGCATCACCTCCGTGGCATAAGTTTGGGCATTAGGATTCATTCGGGCTTGAATGTTTATGAGTGGCTTAACCATGTTGACTATTCACACGGAACCCTGCGAAAACTTACGTCTGTTCGTCCGTTGATGGATCATTCGGCATCGCATAGTGCCACGTCCTAACTTCTCACACGCATCGGGACCATGTACCGGTCTAATTAACAGCGCCGTTCATCAACATTGCATTGCCTTTCAGCGATTACTGATGGAATCGCTTCTATTATTAAATACACAAGTTAAAATACGTTCTACGCACATATTCACCCTACGTTGACTAGCGCTTGCACGATTGAGCGGATTAATAATGGTAAAAGATAATAAATTGTCACTAATGCATTTTAATAGGCATTGTTATTTCAAAAACCTTTTGAATGTCTAAGTGCAGTGATAAACTTAACGAATTGTTTTCAAAATTGTGCATTTGGAGTTGCAAAGTATTGTCGTATTGTGATAACAACTAAAATTAATCTTGTGCCTGGGAATTTCGACCGAGCAGTCAGGTTTTTGCACGATCAAGAACGGTTGCTACTTTATCACACGCCTATCCTGATTCGGCCATATGCTCCTCTGTATGTTTGATGAAGGCAGCCGACCAGCTTGCACGGAGTCGTAATCCTGAAAGCGCTCACTGTGGCAACAAGTGACATCGTCACTCTGGCTTGCAGATTTTATGGCCGCCGGCCAAAGCATTACCTGCCAACCTCTTTCTCTCCCGTCTGTCTGGCCATTCGCCTTCACCCCTCGACCCCCATTTGCTTGCCCTCAAGTCCCCTGCCTTCCGCCCTCCAACCTCACCGAAGGAAAAAAGTGTGACCAGTCGGAAAGAGGTGACTCACACATTTGTCTTTTACGCACGCCATGATGGCATGCTGTGCTTTTTACACAAGATAAGATTCAAAACGTTTCTTTGAAACTGAATTTTAGCGTTGATTTGCTACCAGGTGCATTACACATAAGTGACCCAAAAGACGCCTATTCCCAAGTGCGAGTTTCATTTTGTTAACTACGGATCTTCAAAGCATTAAAAAGTACACATCTTGCTTTATTTGCGCAAATAGTTTAATTATTGATTCAACGTGGAGGTTTTCACCAATCGTAGGCGACATATCGGTACCACGGTAAAAGCGCATCTATCCTTATAGGGCAAAATACTTATTTCCGCTTCCAATGGCTATCGGAACTCAAGACGTTATTTCATTTATTCTCAATGTGTACGCTCGGGTCTCAGAGGTGTTTATTACTCAAAAGCTGCATTTCAGTAAGTTCTATAAACCTTCTTTAAAAGCAGTCTGATCACATGGTAGTAAAGAATGATACTTCAAAGTTGATTTACTTGGATGTAAGCATTACATGGACTCTTTAAACGACTGTCAATGTGAATAATAGGGGATGTACCGACATCCATAGCGAAGTGTAAGAGGTTCTGCAAAATGTGTTAAGTTGAGTCTAGGGCAAGCGGAGTTATTCTGCCATTCAAGGTGAATTACATGAATTTAAAATAAGTTTTGCCGTATTTTCCATTGACTTTCAATTGACAAAGAGCAGTATGACTCAATTTAACTTTTTTTCCGTTTCTGTCCACTGTTTGATGCCATCGTTTGTCATTTTTACACAATGGGAGCACAAAGGAACATTTAAAATTCGGTAACATCAAGTTATTTTACTTTACTTAGTTAATATTGGTTAAATTTTACCCGAAAACCTTACTTACTCAACATTTTTCTGCGCATGAATCCCCTTGGTAAAGCTGACTCGCCCAATTGCCAAATAGCAACGCAAACGGATAACAAGTTGTTTTTAATATTGCAAACTTTTAATGCTATTCTATACCACACTCGTGACTGAAATGGCTTAACTTGTTGAGTCGAAAGCAAAGAATAGCTACCGTTTCGAAGAGAATTAGTCTAGACTTCATCTCTCTGCTTAAACACGCTGCCATTACTGATTTCAACGGTTGTTCGTATCCTCTCAAATAATTGTATCCTTAACACTGACCACTGTCCAAATCCTAAGAAGCAGCTATTAGTTAACGAATTTGCAAATTGCCTTGCATTGTTTTAAACCGAGAGAGAAGGGTTGCGGCAGGAATCACAATCGATATTAAGGACATTTCAGGCATTGAAACAGGAATACCTGATTGGTGTCGAGTAAGAGAAGGTCACGGGTGTAGCCAAGAGATTTAAGGATGCAGCAGTTCGTCCATCTCTTCTTAAGAGAAAATAGATTAATATAGGAACTCCTAGAAGTTCGGAGATGGCTGAACAATTTTTGAGAACTTTAAGCAGGTAATTCCTTGATCCGAGTAACAAAACTTACACCTCTGGGGATCTAAAGGGTAACTGTTAAATTTTCCTTAATACTTTGCACCATACAGCTCTACTGATTTTAGCTTTTAATTAGTTACTTAGCTCAACATTTGTCTGTATGTTCATAATCTGGTGTGCATTCCACAGATTTGGGTCGCAATTGTTAAGTCTAACTAGCTACAGCATGGTGGGTCTGAAAACCCATGAAAGTAATTGGAGTAACTGGAGCTTTTTGGTTGTAATTTGTTTTTTGGGATCTGAACAAGTGGGGGAAGCTGATTGGTCAGGGATCCGATAACCGTCGTTCCGGTGTCTGGTGCTACTTGATTGGCTTCTAGATAAACTGAAATGCCAGTGTGAATCGCTGATGCACCTTATTCGTCACCATAACCACCGATACTACCCACACTTCTGGGCTCTTCTTCTCCTCAACGCCAATTCGCTGAAGTTTTAGGTACCAATTCTCGCTCCAGTTGTGTTATACTGCTCTCTATTAATGGCTTGGTGTGCTCTCCAGCTCTTAGCTCTCTTGCAAATTGTTTTTGCAATCAATAGCACTTCCTATGCTGAAGTGGAAAGACTCATTCAACAGCACGGTGGAGGTCAAGGAAGCTTAGATGTGGTTGGTTTCTATCCTCCAATACCCGGTGACAAATTTAACAACAACTATGCGGAAACTTCAGAGACGTTGGATGGCACAGTTCACGAGGAACAAGTTTTACCAGCGGGTAGACTTCCTCAAGGAGTTCAGTGGAACGAAGAAGGGCAGTACTGGGGATATCAGCATTTACCTCCGCGAAGCACTACCTGGGATGAAGCTAGCTGTATTCCACCATACTGCATTCCAGCTATGTGTTCAGATACAGGGTCAGGACCTCTCTGCTCTCAAAAATGCGTTACTGAAGACTGCAGAGTCGGATGTTTTCCTTTTTGCATTGGTGGGTCTCAGTGCATCGGTAGAATTTGTCAATGTGACATTTTTCGAAGGCAGTCTGCTTGCAATCTAATTAGGTCTTCAGACTGTCAGAATATCTTTGGCCTCTCCTGCTCAATAGGTTGCTTCAAGCCGTCAACAGATATTCCACCATCTAACTGCGACTGCTTAATTCCATTTTATTTGCGCCTTCAGCCTATGTGTGCCACAGAAAGTTTGCTTAACTGCCCAAATAATTGTTCGAACAATGGGATTTGCGATCACAAGACAGGCCAATGCATATGCGATACCGGCTTTACCGGTCCCAGCTGCTCATCAAAGGATTACTGTTTTAACAATCTTGGACTACCTCCTTGTGAATATGGGTGCATTTCTTTGAATAATAGTCGTATGTGCACCTGTCCAGAAAATTTAGTTCTTCAACCTGACGGGGTCACCTGCGGTAGTCCCTGTCCTCCTGGGCTAACCGGACCACGATGCTCTTATGACATAGACGAGTGTCTGACGGGAATTCACGATTGCGAATATTATTGTGTCAATACATTTGGTTCGTATGCATGCAGATGTCTTCCGGGCATGACTCTAAATCCGCTGGACAACAGGACGTGCATTGGAAAAACCTGTGATCCCCCTTGCCTGCCTGAACAGGGGGAATGCATTGCGGGTGGGGTGTGCAAGTGTAATCCTGGATTTCAGGGTTCCAGCTGTGAGTTTGATGTGGATGAATGCGCTTTGGGAACCAGTGGGTGTAACCACGACTGCGTAAATACCTTTGGCTCATTTCGATGTCTTTGCAGACCGGGCTATGAACTAGATACACGAGATAACAAGACTTGCATTGAAATGGAATGTACCCCTCATTGCGTACCGGGACAGGGCAATTGTGTGGAAGGACGATGTAAGTGCAATGAGGGCTTCGAAGGCAGAACCTGTGAGAAGGATATAGACGAATGTGCGGCTGGACTACACAATTGTCAAGATCGGTGTGTAAACACCCATGGTTCATTCCGTTGTGAATGTCGATCTGGCTATATTTTAGACCGTCGTGACAATCGCTCCTGTATTCCTCGAGAATGCATCCCACCATGCTACCCCGATCAAGGTGTGTGTGTTGAAGGCCAATGCCAATGCAATCAAGGATTTCAAGGGACAGCATGTGAACGTGACGTAGATGAATGTCGAGAAGGACTACATAATTGTGAACAGCTATGTTTTAACACTTACGGCTCTTTTAAATGCGCTTGTCGTGAAGGGTACAAACCTTTACACACTGATCTCAGTCGTTGTGAAAGAATTAAGTGTGAGCCAGAATGTGTCCCGGGTCAAGGTGTGTGTAAAAATGGAATTTGTCAGTGTCATAAAGGATTTACAGGGCGATTCTGTGAAAGAGATGTGGATGAATGTCGTGAAGGACTGCACAATTGTGAGCAAGAGTGTGTGAATCTCCCTGGAGGTTTTAAGTGCAGATGTTTTGAGGGTTACCGACCATCGTCTCATGAACCGAACCGTTGTGAACCTCTCGTATGTAAACCGGAATGCGTTAAGGGACAAGGTTATTGCCGCAATGGCGTCTGTGAGTGTCACCGCGGCTACACAGGGAACGCTTGCGAACGGGATGTTGACGAATGCTATGAAGGAACGCATGACTGTCAGCAAAAATGCATTAATACACATGGTTCTTACAGGTGCACTTGCGATGAAGGCTACCGCCCTGTTTCTTCAGATCCTCGCCTTTGTGAACCCATACATTGTGACCCCAGTTGTGTTCCTGGCCAAGGGCAATGCGTGCAAGGCGTATGTGAATGTAAAGAAGGCTTCAGAGGGGTGGCGTGTGAAAGAGATGTGGATGAGTGCAGTGAAAATCATCACGGTTGCGAGCACAACTGCATAAACACTCATGGATCCTATAACTGTACGTGCAATGAGGGTTATCAACCCTCTTCGTATGATCCACGACGCTGCGAACCACTTCATTGTGACCCTGAATGCATATCAGGTCAGGGAGTGTGCTACAATGGTGTCTGCCGATGCAATCAGGGTTTCACAGGGAAGTCATGTGAAGAAGATGTTGATGAGTGCAAGCTAAGGATCGACGAATGTGATCATGAATGCGTCAACACGTTTGGCGCCTACGAGTGCAGATGTGATCCAGGCTATGAGCCTTCGTTAAATGATTCCCATAAATGTGTCCCAGGTGATTGCATGACTAACTGTGTTCCGGGCAAAGGTGACTGCGATGAGTACGGTCGTTGCATCTGCCGTCCTGGTTATGAAGGCCCCTATTGTCAGCACGAGGCTGACTTATGCTCATCGGGCCATCACGAATGCGAACACATATGCGTTAGTCTGCCCGGAAAACGCCATCTTTGTCGGTGCTACCCTGGGTACATTCCTGATCCCAAGAATCCCAATCGGTGCATCGAATACGGTTGTCACCCACCTTGCGAAATCAGTCAAGGTGAGTGTAACATGGAGACGAAGACGTGCATGTGCAACACTGGGTTCGAAGGAGAGCGATGTGAACGAAACATAAATGAATGTGCTATTGATAATGGCGGATGTTCGAATTTATGTGTGGATACATATGGTTCTTACTACTGTGAATGTCCCCTTGGTATGCATTTGGAGTCCAACAGCACTACCACGTGTGTAAATGATGAGCTCTGTGATCCGCCCTGCTGGCCGGGCCGAGGTGTTTGTGTAGCCAGGAATAGTTGCAAATGCAATGACGGATTCACTGGGAAGCACTGCGAAATAATTCAAGATGCGTGCAAGGCTTTTGGACCCTGTGAGCAGGAGTGTATCAGTCTAGGCGGTGAAGCATACGAATGCAGATGTTGGAAGGGTTACATACCCATCCAGTCCAACAACGTAACTACGTGTAAGCCCTCTTGCCAGGTCGGCGAAAACTGCATCCACGGTCGATGTGTAGATGGTCGGTGCGTTTGTCAGGCAGGGTTTGTTGGTGAACAGTGTGACAGGGACATTGATGAGTGCAAAGGAGAGGGAGGTGTCCAAGTGAATTGTGAACAACTCTGTGTCAATATCCCTGGTCGCTATGAATGCCAATGTAAATCAGGCTATGAGCTCCAGCCAGATGGATTCACATGCCGCAGAGTTGACAGTAACAAGGACTGTCCCGAGGGTTGTCTGAACGGCGGTGTTTGTGCCAGTGGATGCCAATGCCCATCTGGATTTCGTGGGACACGGTGTGAAGAAGCTATTGACGTTTGCAGAGAGGAGGAGCCATGCGATCAGGTGTGTTACAGCAAGCCGGTAAGTTTCTCTTCCCAACAGTCTCGGCTGGAATATATATGTCCTGCTTAAAAAAAAACTTTACGTCAAATGAGGCTGATTTTTTGGTTAACTTAAAAAGGCAGGAATATGATATGTGATACATCGAAACATGAATGCGGTTATGATTGTTATGCGTTTGTTCGATGAACAGGATTTTCGGTAAGATTGCTTTCCTCAATGAACTTGACATTTTAACTCTAACAAATGATTTTAACCCACCGGTCGGTGACAAATAACAAGGTACCGTTGGTTTTAGAAGTGCAAAGAAAAATTATGAGAAACTGCACAACTTAGGGCGGACAGTTGTTACTTTGCGGCTATCTCAGAGACCACAAATTAACGAAAATATCATAAAAATTTTCTAAAGTAGTTGTGGGCTGTGTGCATAAGCCGGTGCGATTCTACGTGGTAATACGTCGAACTGTATTGCTGTATGAAAAACCTCCTTATGCGAAGTGTTCGGCTTCGGAAAATGATGTCCAGTGTATGCCCCCAGATCGGTCGTGTTCAGCAAACCAATATCAAGGATTTACCAAGTTAATCACCGTTTGTCTCCTTCTTCAGCTTTACTGGAATGGTAGGCAGTTATTGTGATGATTTTATGCGTCCAGAGTATCACTCTTCATTCCCCTCCATATTTTGTCGACTGACATTGCATTTTGAAACGAGACGTAAGATATGAACCTTAACTAAATCTGCTGTTACTGTGGAGTCAACAAGACACTTTGCTTTTGAATCGTATCCTAGCTAATGGTAAACCACTCGGACATTCATTTTCGTTCCTCTTGGTAACGAATCTTTTTTTTGTTCCGTTCCACCCTTTACCCTACATTTGCTGAAAAGGAATGCAGATACGCTTTCGGTTAATGTGGTTTGCTGATTTACGCTTGGGATTAGGCCTAAACCAGTCCCTGCAGATTTGATCAGAAGGGCTTTACATTCATTAATCCACTTTGTTGGTGAGGGTAGATTTATGATTCTCAAGAGCCTCCTATAGAAGACCGAAAGTATTAATATATCCTTTTGGTAACATCTTGCGCTGGTTCTTGTTGAGTGCAAATTCTTAAAACTGGAAGGAGACAAATTCATGCCATAAAAGGACAGGAAGCAACACTAAGTTAGCAAAGCAACAGCCGAACAAACAGCGTCGGTAACTTTGCAAGCCCACATCGTAAAGTAACGCTTTGCTATTCTCACTCCATCTCTCAACATTGTTGAGTTGGCGGCGTTACTCTGCCCATATCGGTTAAACGCAGCCGATGAAGCAAAATTTAAGTCAAAACTCCCGGTCAGATTTAACAGAATACGTGTCACATAATAGTTCTGATGTAAATATTTCGAAACAAACTATTTCTTCTCAGTTGA